CACTATTTACGTCTCCCGGTGCTATGCCGTTTCCGTCTCGAAACTTCGACGGGTCATAACTCTTCGTTATAACTCGGATTTCGGGTTCTTATATGTACGGAACCCTTGTATCATATACTAACACTTGGTTAAGATTACTCCTTCTAAATAATCTTCCATCAAAAAGTCATTTTTGACGCTTATTGTCTTTAAATTGACTAGCCCGGATCTGCGGGCGTTACAATTATCTCCAGCTTAGGATGATTACGTCCCGGAATCATCAACGAAACAGGTTTGTATAATGACTCCATACGTTATCCCTTCATCCCAAGTAATAATCGTATCTTCTATGTTGCTTCAAACGAGTATCTAACTCTTGGACTCCATAACTTGCAGGCGGTGCTCGATCTTGCACCTATCCCTATCTCACGTTGGACTCAAAATTATGACCTTCAAGCACAATCTCGATCCTTACTAGAGACTGCTTCTTCTTTTTAACAAACTTAAAATAAGTTCTTTTATTACTATTATGGATCGATGTGTCGTGTTCTAATGACCTATCATCGTATGTTGCAACGTTTAGACTCAGGTCTCTGAGAGTCAAAATTCCAGAACAGACTATACATTCCTTCATGTTCTAATGTGATATAATCACATCTTAAAAGTTAACACTCCTAGATACATGCAACTATCGCGATACCTCTTCTGATCGCTTTGATTGTCTTTCACTTCAATCTTCTAGCTTAAGTCAGATGCTACATCGGACTCGGTTCTCTGAACCATGTAACATACTCGTCTTAGTCGGACTCAATTTGATATGACCACTAGGGTCGGAATAACAGCAATATTCTTAGTCTGTACCGAAACAATGGTAACGACATACTTAAATAAAACGGAATCAATTACTAGCTTCTTGGTAACCTTGTGACTTTCCCTGATCCAAGTGCGAGTCCTGTACTTCCGGTAGTATAGGCCTCTACTACCATTCACACCTACTCATACTCGTCCCAAGTATTGTCACGCAGTTCTCCAAGTCATTGTCAAAAAAACAATTTTAACACATACAAATGTGTCCAAACAATCATATAATTTTCCCTAGACTCTACTAGGACTTTTTCCATGCGTATCTTCAATCATCAACTCGGTTG